ACTCGATTCCAGGACCCTGGGGTCATGACCTGAGGTGAAGGCAGACGCTTAACCAACTGAGCCACCCAGGAGTCCCAGTAAAATCTTAAAAAAAAAAAAAGGAAGGAAGAAGCAGTCAGTGCCTCTAGGAAATTCCATGTGGCTTAAGCAATAGTTAAAGGACCTTAAGATATCAAGGGAAAAGATACTTCTGCCCTGTCTTTCTCAGCATAGCTTGATGCCTGTATAAAGAATGTATATAAGTCTTTCCATGGATTATTTTATCTTTCTTTGTAGTGGAGTCTATAGTTTAAGACTTAAGCTTTCTGAGAAGTTTATACTCAATCACTGAAATAAAATGGTAAACCCAGAGTGTACACACACACACCCACAAACTGAATAAAGAATTATTCTGAGGAACCTGTTAACCTTTTCAAAGAAAATGTGCAAATTGATGTGATAATAAGGTGTTAAATGATTTCTTTATTTTGTCCTCAAAATATTTGAATCATAACTCTTCTCTTGTTCCTTATTTTGCTAGAAGCTATTAAGCTGCATACATTTTAAGATTTTATTTTTTGGGAGATAAGATTTATGATGAGAGATATATATGTGATTTAATATATATTTTAACCATATCTAAATGTTTTTTCAGGGGATCTGAAACTTGTGGAAAAGCCATCTCCTTTGACTCTTGCTCCTCATGATTTTGCAAATATTAAAGCTAATGTTAAAGTAGCCTCAACAGAAAATGGAATAATTTTCGGTAATATAGGTAAGGAATTATTTTATAGCATGTGATGTTTGAATATTTTTATTAAAGAATTTCTGTAATAAGTAGTTGTATGACACTTCTTGAGGACAGGACCTGCATCTGTTCATTCATTCACTCATTCATCATTTATGGGGCCATCTGCTATTATATTAAACATTGTACTGTATTCATGGATGTACAGAAATGAACCATAGACTGTCCTCAAGAAACTGCCAAGCAACAGGAGGAAATAGATAAGTAAAATATATAAGTACAACACAGTGTCAGAGGCGCTAGTTTATATACTGTGTGCTTTGGGATCGTAGAGGAAAAATGCTAACCATACAGAAGGCTGTAAAAAGGAGGAGGATATGTTACTGAAGGAGAACTTTTGAACTGAGTCTAAAAGTTTGTATAGGCATTGGTTCCCAGGCCACCTAGGGACTAACTTATATAGAGGCAGTCAGTCAGTCAATAAGCATTTTTTTAAGCAAATTCTGTGGAAGGGATGGAGCTACCAAAGGACAAAAGATCTCTCCTCGGGTAATTTGTGGTTGAGTAAGGGAAGACAGATAAGTAGAGTAGATATGTGTAATATATAATGGTAAGTGGTGCAAAGGAAGCTTGTGCTAGGTAAAGTGGGAGTCTGTGTAGAAATTTGGTCATTTTTCTTAAAGTGGGGGGGGAGTGGGGAAGGAAGGTTAGGAAGGGCTTTGTGGCATTTTGAAAGATTAGTAAGTGTTCTACAGATAGGCAAGGATTCAGCTGTAACAAATGCAAGTAGTTTGATATACTTGGAGTTCAAAGTGGGCTGGAGGGTAGTGGTTTAAAAAAAAAAAAATGAGGTTAGGAAGGTTAGGGGGAGCTCAATTTTACTTGTCATGCTAAGGATTTCAGACTTAGTCCTGGATGTAAAGGATTAGAGCCATTAAGGAATTCTCAGTGAGTTACATGATTAAGCATTTCTTTCTTTCTTTCTTTCTTTTTTTTTAAGAGAGTGAGTGAGAGAGCGCACATGAGTGGGGTGGGGGGGGTGGCCAGAGGGAGAGAGAGAAGATCTTAAGCAGGCTCCACGCTCAGCACAGAGCCCGATGTGGGCTCAATTTCAGGACCCTGAGATCATGACCTGAGCTGAAATCAAGAGTCAGATGCTTAACCGACTGAACCACACAGGCGCGCCCATGATTAAACATTTCTGTGATAGCACTGTAGAAGACTGATTGAAAGAGGCAGGAAGGCTAACTAGTAGACTATTGGAGTAACAAAGGTGAGAGATGACAGAGCTCAAACCAGTGCAGTAGTAGTTGGGTTGGAGAGAAGTGCTGAATATTATCAGTATTAAGGAGATAGAATGCCCAGGACATGGACTGATTGAAGAAGAAGTGGCTAGAGTAACCCTCAGATTTTTTTATTGGGTTGATATTTATGGCAATCACCAAAACAGGGAATGTAGGAGAGAAGAACAAATTTGAGAGAGATACTAAGGTAAATCTTGAGCAGGTTGAGAATAAAGTATCTAATGATGTCCAAGGGCAGTTTGATATGAGTGTGGAACTTGAACAGGAGGTCTAAACTAGAGATAAATACTTGTTTGAAAACCGTAGGAGTAGAAGAAATCACTCAGGGCATAAAAAGTGAGAAGAGGGGAGATTTGAAAACTGAATCTAAGAGAACAGCAATATTGAAAGCTTGGTCAGATGAGAATCCTACAAAGGTACCTGAAATGTGGTAGAGAAGAAGTAAGGAAAAATCTTCCAGAAGAATCTGGAGTTGCAAAAAGTCAAGTAACAGGAAGTCTAAAAGAAGAGTCCTTTGGATTTGGTGATGAGTGAAATTAAATATTGCTTGTGGTATATCTTGGGCAGTGGTGGTGAGTTGAAGACTTGGAGATGGAGAAATAAGGACAGTGAGTGTAGGCTGTTCTGAGTGTAGAACTGTGGTTTTGATAAGAACGAGAGAGGGCAGTAGACTGAAGAGAAGTCGGGATGAGGAAGAATTTTTTTTAAGGTGAGTATGTTTATAGACTAAGGGAAGAGACAGTAGAGAATACGAAGGTAAGGACCTAAGAGTGAGGGAGGTAATGGTTGATGGAGTGACATCCTAAACCAGAGTGGGGATCACAGATGGCAGGAAATACGAATCTGGAAGAGAAGAGACAGCACTTCCCTGATAAGAAGGGTAAGGAGGTGAATGTGGATACAGAGAGAGAAATTTGTTTTTAGATGTGGCGCTAGAAATTAAAGAAACTTATTCTCAGTGACCTCAATTTTCACTGAAAGTAGATAGAGTAGGGGAATGTCAAGAGAAGAGGCTAGGAGGAGGAAAGGTAGGCTCCAATCAGATGACAACTTTTTGCTGTGGATGAGGCAGTCATAGAAGTAAATAATCTTATATACTGTGGCTCCTCAATATTCATTCAGAAATATTAGTTAAGCACTTCTGAGGGAACACTACTACTTACCTGCTACGTATATACTGACTGAGTTTAAATACTGGCCCTACCACTTAATCAGTTCTGACCTTGAGCAACTTATATGACTTCTGTTTCCTCATCCATAAGATGGAGAATGATAATACCATAACATGGGAATAAAGTATTAAACAGGTAATCTTTGTAAAGCATTTAAAATAGAGCCCAGGATAGAATAAGCATTATATAAATAGTTGGCTAATATCATAATTATTATTTGGAAATATGAAAATTTTTTAAATTAAAATTTGCCTCTGGTGATTCAGGACCTTTTGTGTGTGTGTATATTGCAGTTTATGATGTCTCTGGAGCAGCAAGTGACAGAAATTGTGTGGTCCTCAGTGATATTCACATCGACATCATGGACTATATCCAGCCTGCCACTTGCACTGATGCTGAATTCCGTCAGATGTGGGCTGAATTCGAATGGGAAAACAAAGTTAGTCCTTGGGAGATTTCCTTGAACTCCTTATCTGCCTTTTTGGCTAGTGTTGAAGAATTCTCTGATAAAAGTAGTCCCACTAAAAAGTGTCAGATGTAAGAAGCAGTTTCTCAATATCTATTCTTGCAAATTAGCCTTAACCAGAAATTATGCGAGTAGTTTGGTAAGTTGTTATAAACTGATGAGAGAGGCAGTTGTATGATTAGTCTGATTGATCAAGACATTAAAGACCATATTCCATCCCTTGGGTGTATGAATAATAATTTACTATTGAATCCAGTGTCCAGAAGAGGTTTTACAAAGTCAGTGGCCTTGATTTTTATTAGAAATATTTTATATGCAGCATGTTGATCTTTTATGAAGTAATCTATGTATGAAAGTTCTGATACCAACTTGCAGTTTGTTGGATTTTGTAGATGTCATTTAGTTGTTTTTTTGCCCACCTTCCCCACTATATACTTGGAAGGAGGTTCTGTATAATATGAGTCTGTTTTCTCAACCCTAAGATCAGAAATACGCAACTTTCTCATTATAAGGATTATGACCTCCTTGACTTTTTTTCTCCTTCTGTACAGGTGACGGTTAACACAAATATAATTGATTTAAATGACTACCTACAGCATATATTAAAGTCAACTAACATGAAATGCCTCACTCCAGAGAAGGTAAAATTTGAGAACTTCTTAAATCTGATAGAGAGTAGTATGGCAGATTCCTGGCTTTCTTGTATTTCCTTTAGTGTATTTTTGTTATTGTTCAGCATAAGAAAAGCAGTGTCATTCTGGACTAGCTAAAAGAAATTATCCCATAGAATGCATCAATCTGCTTACCTCTTTGTACCAGAATATACCAGCCTGCTTGTTCCTAGTACAGTGACCCAGTTGAATAGTCAGATTCATTTTTCTTTTCACTCTTCTCCCTTTCAGCAAAGGCTCATTCCAAAATAGGTTTTGATACTGGATTAAAAAGGTCCATGACCTCTTCTCTTGGTTCTGATTGTGGGTCAATATATTTATTCAAATACAGAATTTTCTAAGTTCTGTATACATGAAAAAAGAATAGGAAGAAAGAAAAATGAAGCTGAGGCTCTAAGGAATTTCTTTTCTTTGTGGAATTCCTGCTAATGTTATAATACTAATTTTATCAGTAAATTTCTGCCAGACAAATGGGTTTTAATTCATATATTAGTTTACTCAACAAATAGTCTAACAAATACACAAACAAATATCATACGCCCAGTACTCTGTGAGCTTCTGGATATATAGTAATGAAGAAAATAAAAATTGTCTCTCCTTCATGGAGCTTAAGGTCTGGTGCAGACAACTCTGTAACTAAATAGGGAATGTATATATACAAATTGGAATAAGTGCTATTTCTTTAAATACAGTCACTTTTATTGAGATATAACATAGACACAGTAACATTCACACTTTTTACATATACAGTTCCGTGAGTTTTGACATTTATTTAGTCATGTAACCACCACCGCATGGTAAATCCTATTTTAAATGATAATTTATATATGCTGGTGGGTCTTGCTTATGTGTCGTTCTCTAGTGAAGTATTGAATATATCATAAATTTCTTCCAGGCTCTTTCTGGTTACTGTGGCTTTATGGCAGCCAACCTGTATGCTCGTTCCATATTTGGAGAAGATGCACTTGCAAATGTCAGCATTGAGAAGCCAATTCAACAGGGCCCAGAGGCCCCAGTTACTGGCCACATAAGAATTCGTGCAAAGAGTCAGGTAACAATTGGGTGTTACCCAATTTTGGGAGGGGGGTTGTGTTTTGTTTTTGTTTTTGAGATCATCTCTGAACTGAACAAAAAGGAAGAATTTATTTCTTCATTATTTTTATATGTAGTATTCTCTGTCATACTTGTATTTTGTGCATTAGATGCATATATGTAATAATAGTATTCTCTGAATAGAAATAGAACTTTTGCTTCATTAAAATGGCCCACTTCTTTCGGCCTGTCACTCTGGATTATTTGCCTAAAACAAGATTGATTCCTGTAGGGTGTTTGTGAAATGGGTTCTGTAGAGTTTTTTGAAATCTAAACTACAAATCCAGTGACTAATTGTAAATCTAGCACTAAAAGTACTTAACAAAGTAAAGTTTTGGTGAGTCTGGTTTCATTATTGATGTGGTGTCATTGAATGAGGGCTTGGTTAAGATACAGAAACCTACTGGTTTTATATAGATTTAATAATTATAAACATTTTCATTCTTCCTTACAGGGAATGGCCTTAAGTCTTGGAGATAAAATCAACTTGTCTCAGAAGAAAACTAGTATATAAGAATAAACAAAAAGTCCTTGCAGCTTTACAGTTAAAATTTAGGTATGGGCTTATTGGACTCCAACATCTTTTGTACTCTTTCATGCTTTATGTTATATAGAATCTGAGTTCATGCTGAATGCATTCCAGCCAATAATTTATAGCCTTTCCCTTAAATCAAGATTGAGTTTAAAATTATAGTTTGTCTTTTGTCTTAACAGTTCTGAATGCTGTCCTCAAAGTATATAATGTTTCTCACATGTACCAAGACCATTTTCACAGTACAATAAACAGATCTATTCCTAAATCTTTTGTTATTTTATAAATAAATATATAATTACCTAATTTTAGTTATGTAGCAATGGATTTCTTTTAGTTGGGTTATAGGTTTCTATCATAAATTTAAATCACTCTGAGTTGTGCATATACAAACTTTGTTAAGAGAATTTACAAATTCAATGATATGAAATGAGACAGACCTTGATTTACTTGATTGACTTTTACTTATTTATTATTTTGACATCAATATCTCTAAAAATCCCTTATTGTGTTCTAAGAGCTTTTCTCTGGAATTGAGCTCTAGGAGGAAAGTATCAAATAACTTGAGAAAACAGATCCATCTCCAGTTTAAAAGAGTATTATGAACCCTGGCTTAAATAAACATACTCTTCTTAATTATCCTGAATCATAATGAAAAGTAATAATCCAAAGTAGATCTTTTAATCATTCACATTTAGCTCGGAGTCTTATTTTATGTTTGTGGAATTATATTGGCCGCAGCCAGTTACTGAGGCTGCGCTGGGAGGATTCCACTCTTGGGGGATTCAGAGAGCTGTGCTGTGCCCCTGTCTCCCCCAAGCCTTACCCACCCTCCCCTTTCCTTCCTTTACTCCAGCACTTGGCCACCCTCGCCTCTCAGTACGATTCCATGTGGCTTTCTGGGCTGAGCTCCCTAGAGTCTGATTGTGCTGTCCTTTTGGCCCTTGCCTCCCTTGGGGATGATTGAGGTAGTCTGTCTTTTAGCTAAGTCAACATTGAGCGATTATGCTTTGTCTTTCAGCGAGGCTTCAGGCTACAGTCAGGATGTGTCCGCAGATAAGGTCTGTGAAAGAGTGAAAGCAGCATCTCCTATTTCAGCACTTGAGTGAGAGTGGAATGATTTGTTTGGAGTATAAAGGAGATTGATACCTTGTATGATGTCATAAACTTTGAAGCCACTTGCTTTTTTAATCCGAAAGAACCAGAGGATTACAAGGCATTTGAGATTCCACAGCACTGAGATCTCAAAGCCAAGTCGGTGGCTCCCAGTGGGGAAGATACTAGGAATGCAGGAAAGGGGTCAGTTGGATGCATTAAGTCCAGTACTAGAGATTTATGATGAGAGCAGAGGAACTGATGAAACTTTGGATTAGATCATTTCCCAAACTGTTCCATTGAACATTAGCTTCCTTGATGTCATTAGATATTCTGGGAGAAAAAGGATTCCATAGTCAAGTAGTTTGGGAAAAACTTCATACTGTCCTGTACTAGAGGTTCACCATGTACATTAGCATACTAGAAATTCTGAGAGGTCCTTCGGTAAAAAAGCAGATTAGTTTGGTTTAACCCAGTATATCTTTTTTTTTTTTTTTAAAGATTTTATTTATTTGACAGAGAGAGACAAAGAGAGGGAACACAAGCAGGGGGAGTGAGAGAGGGAGAAGCAGGCCTCCTGCCGAGCAGGGAGCCCGATGCGGGGCTCGATCCCAGGACTCCGGGATCATGACCTGAGCCGAAGGCAGACGCTTAACGACTGAGCCACCCAGGCGCCCCTAACCCAGTATATCTTCATCTTACTTGGCCAGGGAATCCGTTTTCATAGAATACCTATAGATGGTATTATAGGACAGGAAAAGTGACTTAGCATGTTAAAGATTTTGGTTTTATATTCACAAGCAACCAGTATTGCATTTAAAATCTCAAGGAATTATGTCTCGACATCTACATCTAGAATATCTCTCCTGATACTCTCAGAAAATTGCCTAACATACTCCAGCTGTTGTTGGTGGGACAGATGGCTCACATTGCCATTTTCTTAAATTCATAAATAAGGAAACAGAGAGAAAGAAATTAACACAGATGTCAGATATCTATACTACATTAAGCTGTTGACTTCATTAGCATTTTCTTTAGCTTTGTGCAATTAATAAATGTAAACTGAATTGGATAGCTTACAGAAGCTGTTTACACTGTACTCTTTTAATTAGGATATAATACATATTTAAAGGTTGTGGTTGCTTATATTAAGGATATCATATAATTAGGACCATGATGTGTGGTAAGAGAATAAACATAGTATCTGACACCAAGTGAGGGCTTAATACTATAAAGGTATTGAATGAATAAACTTGTAAATCTTAGAATTAAATGGCCCTTGTATTTCGCTATCATGACGCTAGAGGGAGCTCTTAGTGCTCCCTTAGAGCTCCTGGGAAAGAAGTTACTTTCATTTGGGATTAGAAGTGATTGGAGTTTAAAGTTGTTTTTGTAAGAAGGAAAAACAAGGTAATTTTTCTATTAGCCAGGAGATTATACTAGTGCTATTCTGCTGTCTGTGAGGAACTTTCCTACATGATTTATAAATAATAAGGTGGCAAAACTCCTTTCACAATACCTAAAAAGACAAGAGAGCCACAATGTTTTAGAAACTAAATAGTATCGGGGTGCCTGGGTGGTTCAGTCATTAAGCGTCTGCCTTCGGCTCAGGTCATGATCCCAGGGTTCTGGGATCGAGCCCCACATCGGGCTCCCTGCTCAGCGGGGCGTCTGCTTCTCCCTCTCCCACTCCCCCTGCTTGTGTGTGCACTCTCTCTCTCTCTGACAAATAAAATCTTTAAAAAAAAATTTAAAAGAAACTAAATAGTATCAGAAGTGAAGTAACTGTGCTATATATTGGGTAAAGTAAGTATTTTCCTGGTGACTTTTTCCTTCCCCATTGGTAAATGTTCTTTAGCTAATAATTTATAGCCTTTCCCTTAATTAAATCAAGATTTAGTTTAAGATTATACTTTCTTGTGTGTTTTTTTTAACAATTCTAAATACTGTCCTCAAAGTAGGGTCAGGCCTATCAGCTGCGTGCCTTAGCTGCCATCACCCATACTCTCCGCACACCATTACTGTTCCTTGTCTCTGCCCCTGAGCTTTGCTCTCCACCCCCAGGATCTCAGGAGCCTAAAGGTGGGACCAGGTTACAGCACAGTAGGTACAGTACAGTTTAGTTGAGTTTCGTTCAGCTTAGAATCAGAAAAATGTGGAACCCTGTATTCTACTTACTTGCTGGGTGGTCTTAGGCAATGATGAATAGCTGGTTCATGGAGTGCTTATTTGTGCCGGGCATAACAGTCCGTGCTCTTTCCATGACGTACATAATCCTCCCAGTGGCTCTGAGGAAATACTGTTAATATCATCATTTATAGGTGATTACAATCTTAGGAAAGGGTAAGTTACTTACTATTAATAAAGGCCTAATAGGAAGACTTGACCCCAGATATAAAGCCAGGGTGTCAGTAAGTCCCTACGGCTAGTCACACCCTGCCACCACTGCCTACTCTCTTTGTGCCTCAGTTTCCTCATTTGTAAGGTGCTTATAATGTCTATGTCACAGAGTTGAGGGAGGATGAAATTAAATAATGTGTCAATTGTGAATATTTCGCACTGAGCACATGCTCATCGGGAAGTCTTTTTTTTTTTTTTTTTAATTTTTAATTTTATTATGTTAGTCACCATACAATACATCATTGGTTTTTGATGTGGTGATCCACGATCCATTGTTTTCATATAACACCCAGTGCTCCATGCAGTACGTGCCCTCTTTAATACCCATCACCAGGCTAACCCATCCCCCACCCCCTCCCCTCTAGAACCCTCAGTTTGTTTTTCAGAGTCCATCGTCTCTCATGGTTCATCTCTCCCTCCAATTCCCCCCCCCATTTTTCCCTTCCTTCTCCTAATGTCCTCCATGTTATTCCTTATGTTCCACAAATAAGTGAAACCATATGATAATTGACTTTCTCTGCTTGACTTATTTCACTTAGCATAATCTCCTCCAGTCCCATCCATGTTGATGTAAAAGTTGGGTATTCATATTTTCTGATGGCTGAATAATATTCCATTGTATATATGGACCACATCGTCTTTATCCATTTGTCTGTTGAAGGGCATCTCGGCTCTTTCCACAGTTTGGCTATTGCGGACATTGCTGCTATGAACATTGGGGTGCATATGGCCCTTCTTTTCACTACATCTGTGTCTTTGGGGTAAATACCCAGTAGTGCAATTGCTGGGTCATAGGGTAGCTCTATTTTTAATTTTTTGAGGAACCTCCACACTGTTTTCCAAAGTGACTGTACCAACTTGCAGTCCCACCAACAGTGTAAGAGGGTTCCCCTTTCTCCACAACCTCTCCAACATTTGTTGTTTCTTTCCCTGTCCATTTTTGCCATTCTAACTGGTGTAAGGTGGTATCTCAGTGTGGTTTTGATTTGGATTTCCCTGATGGCTAATGATGATGAACATTTTTTCATGTGTCTGTTAGCCATTTGTATGTCTTCTTCAGAGAAGTGTCTGTTCATCTCTTCTGCCCACTTTTTGACTCGATTATTTGTTTTTTGGGTGTTGAGTTTGAGAAGTTCTTTATAGATTTTGGATACCAGCCCTTTATCTGTAGTGTCATTTGCAAATATCTTCTCCCATTCTGTGGGTTGCCTCTTTGTTTTGTTGACTGTTTCCTTTGCTGTGCAGAAGCTTTTTATCTTGATTACATTTCTTTCCCCATTCCCCTTTCTTACACCTGCAGAGAAGATGGAAACCTACTCTCACTCTCTTCATACCTCCCTCTGAATTTAGGTCCTAATTCTATACTTGAATGCTTTTGTTTTTTTAACAGCAGTAACTTAAAAAGAATCTTCATTTCTCAAGAATTCTTTAAGTGAGGTATCATTGGCCCTCAACTTTATGACTTTTTTTTGTCCTATCAATTTTTTAATTAGCTCTTGGCACTTCTGCTTATCAATGTTGTTACCACAGCTAATGTGACTGTCACACCCATATACCTCATATGATAAATGGCCTGTGGTGAATGTGCTGGTTTTATTTGCTTTCAGAATGACTAGTTCTTTAAAAATTGAGCACAGAGATATGTGCAGCCAGGTTACAGTAACAACGTGATAGAGTCACTCACTGATCAAGTCATTTCTGGCAGTCTGACCATTTTCTCTTTATTTTCTCCACCTCGCTAATGGCAGGATCTCTTTGATTAAGAAGTCAGTTATGCAGTGACAAAAGAATGCAAGTGGGATTTGTGCCTTTCATC